CATGTCCATGAACCACTGGAGAGTTCACGGTACAAGCAGTGTGTGGGAAAGAGGTTTGGTAAACTATTAGGATGGGAGGTAACAGCTTTAAGTTGCTCCAGGGGAGGGTCAGGTTGGATATGAGGAATAATTTCTTCTTAGAGTGATGAGGTGTTGGAACAGGCTGCCCAGGGAGATGGTGGAGTCACCACCCCAGGAGGTGCTCAAGGGCAGATGTGACAAAGATGCAAAAAAATATTTAACACCACTGAAAAGGCTGCAAGTAGGGCTGAGAAAGTTACTTCATAGTTACAGCACATCCTGACTCAGCAGAACATGGCAGTTAGAGCACTATGAAGCAGTAAGGTACACATTACAAGGTCAAGGATCACCTATCTGAAAAAGGAAGGAGCAGATCTCAATGGGAAAATAGCTCTTTCACCTAAAAAGAAATGCAAAGACTCATTCCAGATGCCATACTTCTCAATACTTCTATTATTCTTGATCAATCTGTCACAGCCTACCCAAAGCCAAGGACATCACTTGCTGCTTTTCTGTTACCACAAAAATAAAAATGTAAGTGATGTGACCCCGATAAACTCTTATATAATGTACTGCTTTATCTTCCACACACCTTAAAAATAGCTATGTTATCCATACAGAATCACAGAACAGCTCAGGTTGGAAAAGACCTTAAAGATCATCGAGTCCAACCACCACCTAACCATCCTACCCTAACTCTAACAACCCTCTGCTAAATCATGTCCCTGAGCACCACATCCAAATGGTTTTTAAACACATCCAGGGATGGTGACTCAACCACCTCGCTGGGCAGCCTATGCCAGTGCTTAACAGCCCTTTCTGTAAAGAAGCTTTCCCTGATATCCAACCTAAACTTACCGTGGCACAACTTGAGGCCATTTCCCCTCATCCTGTCACCAGTGAGAAGAGACCAGCCATGTGTATGTAAGCCCATATTTTTCTGCGAAGTGAATATAAGCTGATTTACAGCTATCCAAGCCAGTTAGCTTACTCAGAGAAAAACATAAACCCTAAATTGATGTATCAGCAGATTCTCATTTAGGAAATAAAATAGAGCTTAAATCTAACAAAGATTATGGTATTTCAGCAAAGCCATACAGCCCTTGCTTTTGTTTTGGAAGGATGAGAAGATAAAATAATGAAACAATGGTGAAAAAAAATAATGAAAAATGTCACTGAAGAAACATTGAGGAAAAGTATTCTCGCATATCAGATCTATAGAAAACATCCGTACTTTTAAATTGACCATCTGATTTCAATTTTATGAACTGCATTTCAACACTATGTTGTCTCATTGATTCTTACCAGGAGTTGCAATACAGGTCTCTTTTCTTTTGCATGGATTCTCAATTCTCAACAGACATCTCATGATGTACCAGCAGAGAGGGAAAGAATTTCCTCCAACTAACTGGATTGCTGGAAGGAGGCAGGAGTTCAAATGACATGTATAACATCAACAAATGCGAAATGATGAAAATATTTCTTTTTGCAGCTCATTGAAAATGAATTATATTGGTCAGCTCAAAAAAAGGAAGTACTGACACACTCTAAATTACATCAGGAAAGAGAAAACAATCAAAGAAAAATGAGCTAGACAGAGCCCGATCTTCTGTTATCTACCATAGAGCAATAACGAAAATGTACCAGCCCTGCAGAATGCTTCAGGAGACAAAACATGTAAGACAAAATGTAAGACAAAACCCTGGCTTTCATCTTTACTGGAAAAAAAGAAAAAAAGAAAAAAAAAAAAAAAAATCCACAATAAAAAGAACAAACTTAAAGTATCCAGCACAGCAAAATAGACTAGAACGAACCTAAAGGGGCACAGCCACCAGAACAGAAGGCTTAACAGGACACCATGTAACATCATATTTGAAAAAAAACCAAAAACCTGCTGTTACATTAGGTCTGATGTTTATTATTATTATTTCTGTAAATGAAAAAGTAACATCAAATCATCTGTCAAAACTTTTAGTACTTCAGGAAATCAAGATACAGAAGTTTAGATCAAGCAGTAAAACTAGAGCTTTTCTGCCCCTTTATTAACAACACATCAGCTGCCTGCTAACAAAATATGCATGTTTCACTGATTTAAATGTCATGATTAGGAAAGTAAAACTACAGCTAAGCATCTGAACTCTTCTGTTTAAATTTACTTACCGAACACTTCACTAGTGTGAAATATGCAGCAGATACTCAGAACCTGCCTTTGCTACGCTAACATTCTACATTCTACCTACTATTTCTGTCACTATTTCATCAAATACTGTGAACTAGCAATTCTCTAGAAATCAAAACCAAAAGAAAACAACAGCAATGCACCTGTGATGTCTGACAAATCAACAGGTGTACTGCATAAACACTATGCTGGATAATAAAAATAACTAGATTTCCAGTCCAATGGAACTGAGTTCTAACTGAAAAGAGTCCTTACATTTCTAGTATGTACTTGTTGGCAAAATAAGACATTTTCCTCACTTGCGAGGAGAAATTCAACACCTGCAGCACGTGTATTTCATATCCTCATTTTTATTCCCATATTTATATCATAGTATAATATGCCATCAGTGACAAGAAAGCAACTTCTGTCTCAGATGCATGCATTTGCAGTTAGTAGCTTAAACCACAAACGTGAGACCCCCACAAAACATGAACGTACTGTAAAACAACAATTGTGTTTTTACCTGTTATGTCGCTGCACTTACCTTGGAATACAGTATTACAGATTAAGCAGTTTCCAACAACTCTTTGATTCTGTGACAAGTTGCAAAGCACTCTGTTCTTGTTATGTGTCTTTTGCAAACAGCAAGCCTATGCTGATCAACACGCCTCTGCATGTCAGAACTGCTCCCCATCCACAACAATTTATTAAAGCATTAAAACATGGAAATGCTCCATCCTTTTAAAGCAGTAATAATTCATGTCTACTTAAATCCAAACTTTCAGTTAGAGAGAACTTCAGTGTCAACTAAAAACTGCTTTTAAAAAAAGCCCATTTCCTTTAAAAACTGAAGATGGTTACCTTTTTTTTACAGTACTTTTTCACTGATTACCTTTTGGTAATATCTGAGCACGCTCGGTGAACAGCACTTTACTTCCTCCCTTTATCATGGTTTAAGGTACCACAGATCACGTGAATAAATTAGATGAGTCTCTCTCTCAAAAAAAAATTAAACTTCTAATTTGAAGTGTACTTTTATACTGAAATATAAAACCATGGAGATAATTAAAGCATTACGGATCATTGACAATTATTTCCACAATTCTCTTGAGAGAGGGAAAAGGTGACCATGGAAATTAAGATATAGTAACACAATTGGTATCAATGTTAAATAACAAGTGAGAGCTTTTTTTTTTAAAAAAAAAAAAAGTATACATGGTTCAATATATTAAGAATCCATGCACTACTTGCATTATTGTTCAAATCATTACAGCAATATTTAAATGTGAAACTGCACACTTCAACTCCTACAGTTAATCAAATCCCTTAGAAAAATATTATTCTTGACACGGGTTAAATTGTACAAATGTAGACTTGCACAGTAGTTGTGAAAAACCACAGAAAGATACTTTGTTACACACCTGGATTTTCAGGTTTTGTTATTCAGACTTTAAAGACAAAGCACCTTGTAGCGCCCCTATGACACACTGTCTATAAGTAAAAAATGGAAACCATGCTGGCTTCACCATTCTCCAAATTCTGATGACTATTACATTGTAATAATAACAAAACAGACAACAGAATTGTTTGAGCTAGGTTCTCATACTCTTCACAAGCCTTCAAGATGTACTCAGTCAGTGTTTTAGAAAATCAAACACAGTCAGAGCTGAAGAGTTGTTTCAGCCAACAGGTTCACAGCAGCGCTCGTCTGCATAAAAGCTTAAGAATAAAAAACTTGCACTGAATTACTAAAACAACACTGAAGACAAATATATTTTATTAATACAGAAAGCAGTTAGAAAGCAAGCAAGTGAAAGCTTATGAATTTATCAGGTTTTAAGCAAAAAAAAAAAAAAAAAAAAGTAATAAATCAGTCTATCTCCATGCTGGCTCTTTTGCTGTTATGTGCTGAACAGATCACGTTGGCTGTGCCAAAGAGCACAATATAGTTCTACAGAGGTATACCCATTACTTGCATTGAATGGATGCACCCCAACTGATGAGATCTGACAGCTTAATTAAATGCTTCATTTTTAGATGAAAGAAATGGGCTAAGAAAGACTTGATGAATTCCGCCTGCAGTGATAAAATTTAGGTTTTTTAGACACAAAAAGGTCAATGGTGTGCAGACACCATCGTATTCTATAATCTGCTGTTGAGAAATGAATAAATAAATTAAAAAAGAAATCGAGGTCACAGAGTTTAAGGCTGGTGAATACTGTTGCTTCAGCTGAGGGGAGCTTCTGAGATGAACCACAAAATACATGCCTTCTTTTTGCCAACAGCTTTTGGCAATATCTACCAGTTAAACATAAGCACAACCCGAGACATCGTTGTTTTTAAAAAAACAAAGTCTCATCAAAGATAATGAGAATCATTAAAATTGATTAATACATAAATAATCTCTTCTTTCGGGACTGAGTTTCCAAAGATATCTAACAGGACCTTCTTTAAAGAAAACCTTCTGTACAGTTATTTGTTGTATGAAAACATCTTTGTCTTAGGTTTCTGTAGAAAGACTATGCTACGCCTCGTATCAAATATTTTACTGAAATCAAACTTATTACAACTGTAATAAATATAGCTTTTAAAAACATTTAATGTACAATTTTATTTACATGAAAGTCCACTAAAGGAACAACCTCCAGAAAGAAATGGTCTCGAACCAGGCCTATTTAAACCAGAAAATCCACTGGTTTATTGGAGGTGGTGACGTTTTTTAGAAGGGGAAGTAACAGATTTTTATCACTGACTGCAACTGTGTTATCGGCTACTGGAAACACTGAAAGAATTCCATGAGTCTGTATTGCCTCCCCACCTATGTCTTCGCTGCAGAAGTGGCCTCTGTGTGTGTTTGTGAGGAGGTAACTCTGAATTCATGACAACAGGAATGGATATTTGATATTCGTATCGTTCCAACATCTGAGCAATCTTCTCACGAGTGACCCCATGTTTATTCCTCCTACAAAAATAAAAATTTAAATGAATTGCCTGGTATGATTATGTTTACAGTCTGTAAGAAAAAAAAAAACTTATTTCACAATTTTTCTCCTTGCTTCTCATTTCTAAAAGAACCAGATGTATTTTCCTGTATTTCTTAGCAGTAATCTTTACATAATTGAAAAACATACATACAACTGAGTCAAGTGATTGCATAAATTTTAATTTAAAACTTTATAGCATTTCAAATTTAAACTTTTTTACACTCTATTCTAATTCTCTCAGTATTCAATTTGCATTAATGCTTATTTTATTTTTAATAATTCACCACTGAAAGCACTAAGTACCAGAGAACAATGCAGCCATTCTTCTTTATAAAGAAATCTGCTGTTATTCACCAGGACAGCATACCTAAGCAGCCCTAGAAACATTTTTGTTCCTATTTATTCTTAAGATTTCATATTGTATACTAGCTAACGAGAAGAGAGATTAATGCCTTATAGACTATTACTCTATTATTTGGGAAAATAAACTAGCATCAGAAATGGAACTATATGATTTCAAGACTTAGAGACAGAATATTTTCTCATCAATGAAACTAAGGGAAATGAAGAGAAACATTTTAAAATTATTTTTCAAAACAAGCAGTGCATGCTCATACTTGTATCTACTATTTTTATTGATACTTGTTTCAAATTTAGAAATAGACACAAAAAGGACAGATAAGGCAGATAAGGGAAAGCATCAAAGCAGCCAAAAGAAACAACCTGTTCTTGCAGCAGTGAACAACCACAGCTTCCAGAGAGAACTGGGCCTATTAAGAACCTGAGACACTAGAAATTACATTGTAATGCTTCTATTTCCTCAGCACCTATGGAATAACAACTCAAAACTCACATTAATAGAATTTCAGCCTCCCCTAAAAACACAGCAATGAGGTTAATGCACAAACTGAGTGTCAGAGAATAACCAGCACTGCAACAGAACTGACTCTAGAAAAAGACCAAGACAGCACATCCTCCTTTGGTATGTCTTCCCTAATCTTTTTGGCAGCCTGGCTACACCAAAGGAACATAAAGGCATCTCGTCCTTCACCAACACATGTACCAGCAATATCTCCTAGCAGACAGTTACACTTTGAAAGCTTTATCTGTTGATAACAGCCAGTTTCTGTCACTATTAAAAGCTTCTACATTAGAAGAATCTTGCCACGCAGAGCACCCCAATCTATTGATAAAATAATACTACATAGATATTACTACCTAAAAATAAAAAATAAAACATCAGCACAAGTTCAATGAAGTCAGTGCCAAACTGCAGTTCTATGATCACACTGAAGAAAAATGAATATATTTCATTTGCTTGCTTTTCACTTCTGTTTATATATTCAGCAGGTAAACTTTGACATCTATCCTCAACTACTGCTTTGACAGGATACCTGTTATTTGCCAGAAGTCTGAATCAAACGCACACCTCCATGTTCTGCCTCCTACTCAGAAATCATAAAAGCTCTCTGAAAGAGGGTAATGTTTTCATCCACTGCTAAGTAAGCTCTTAAAACATCTCTCTTCAACCAATGTGCCACTTGTTTGTTCCGACTTGCAGTTTTCAGAATTACCTAAAAATTACATCTGGAAGTACAAAATCCTTTACATAAGGGGTCTAAAAACTTAGTAACATGTCTTAAGCACTGCCACAAGACACACATGGGAAGTCAAGATGTTTCCACAAGCTATGTGAAGAACACTAAACTAGAAGCAAAAAAATCACACACAAGTGAGTCTAAAGACAACATGTACCTCATCAACATGAGGAAGAAGACACTGAATGCACATTTATCATGTTCCTGACATCAGGCATTCACCTAGCCTCAATTAGTCTCTTTTCCTTTCAGTAAGGCTTTGCTCTTATTTCTTAAACACTAGGCTGTGGCAGAAATGACTTAATAAAGGTATCTAGAAAAACACAAGACTCCTAGAATATCAGGACAATCTAGTACTGAATAAATGTTATGAACAATTCTATCAGACAGTGCCACCAAAAAAAAAAAAAGAGGGGAGGGAGAAGGGAGGGAAAAGAGAAAAAAAAGAAGGATATATTCAAAATACTTTGGCTAGGTAAAGTACAAGCCAGCTTGGTTTTATTCCAAACAGCAGAAACAAAGATTGTAAATAGTGACGTAGGATCAGAATGCATGACTCCAGACAATTAATAGGTTCTCTGGATTTATGACTAGGGCAGTGTTTACCCAGGTAGTGCACAAAATGTCGAGCTCAATGTAAGGGGAAAATCCCCAAACTACAGTAACTCCTATCATCTATTTCCTAAATACACTAAATAGGGAAAACAACAACATGAACTTGCAAAATAAAATACCACATCACCACTTTTCCTAAAGTCCCAATAAACAAAGTTTACTGGCCATGCACATCTATTCAAATACATAAAGCAACTGGATTTGCCAAAAAAGTTCCAGAAAACTCACAAGGTAAAATCACTTCATAGTTCAAGGCCTTTCCTTTCATTTTGTTAGGGATAAAAATTTTGGTCTTACAATTAATGACCAGACAAGGAAATCCAATGATAACAATAACATTTCCCTTTTTGCTTTAACTTTGTTACGTATTCATGAGAAAACACCCATTTTCCTAGAAAATTCTAGTTTGTCTCATAAAAAGGAAATCTCACACTGAACATCTTAGAAATGCCTGATTACTGTAACAGCTTCCTTCCTAACTTTGCAGTGCTGTATCATAAACTAGAAAAATTTATTAGAACTCATCTCAAAGAGAGAGACTCCATCCCTAACAATAAATCACAAGTAGCTTAGGACTAAAAGAAGAAAATTTTAGATTTATCAAGAACACACAAAAAAAATGAAGTCTCAGTCAGTAAGACAGGTATTACACACGTGGTGTTTTGTAGAGGCTATTTTACAAAGCCGAAATAATGATAAACCAAGTCACCTGGAGACAAACAAAATCATGAACAGTAAGAGAACACTTTATCAGCCATGATAGTATTAAATTGCATTTCAAACACTGAAAGTCCCCTAAGTTGAGCTGGTACCTCTCAGATTCCTAAAGAAGATCTGCCTGAGACAAAAGAGAAATTTACCAAGAATAACCAACAGCTTTTGAGGCACTCTCACAACCCACAGGCTCGACAACTTATGTCCAAATTAATACTCTAAGATCTAGATGCTCTGAAGATTAGAAATGGTTTCACAAAATCCTGTGATAGAATAACCTAAAACACAAACTTTCTATTTAATCTGTACTGAATTGGAATGCACTACTGTTCCCTGATGAAGAGACATTTAAAGAAAGAAAACATAAGGCACTTCTATTGATGCACTCTTAATTTCTTCTTACATTCTAACTATTTATTGTCTGTTTCGTAGCAACAAGTTTCCCAGGATAACTTCAGTTTTTCATTACAGCAGAAGCGCTTTCTACAATAGCTGATCACTTCCTAATTTGCTTCCAAGAAAGTTTTAATATTGACTTCTAGGATCAACAAGACAATATTTTGATATCCACAAGTCTAATGTGTCTCAAAATGCATATTTGAAACAAATACTTAAATTATATTTTCAGTATAAGACACTGGATAAAATATAAACTTCCTATATGTTTTTACATGGGCAAATTTCTTTATATCTTTTGATGCAATAAATACAATGATTTATCTAAAATAAACCTTACTTTTCCAATTCTTCAGGATCAAATTTCCACCAAGTATCTGGCTCACGGAACTCCACTCTGTATCCCTTTTCTAGAGCCTGTAGCAAGCGAAGAAAAATGTTTCATATGAGTAGTATTATATAAAATATGAACAGTAATAACTATAACAAGAAGTTCATGGGCCACTACAATAAACAAATGTGGTTAACTATACATTGTAGCACGCTGAATTTTACTTGCCCCAAACCTGTCTTTCAGTCCAGGCTCAGCAGATTAGATCACATCTGTCCTAAAACCGTTCTGGACTATCGCCATACCATTTCCTCACTGCATCAACAAGCAGTCTCCCTTCAGAAACCAAAGAAAGGAAGATGTTTCTGCACATAGCAGACCAGCTCATTGCATACGAAGGTAAATTCACAGAGCTGTAACAGATGGTATAATTTCAGAATAACACCTACCACTTCCACATATGGCTTCATCTCCCAGGCTTGAGTATTAGTGTTGTCTATTATAACTGGAGATTTTCCCTGCTCCATCGCCTGTTTGGCTGCAACAAAAGAAACTACATGTAAATAAGCAATTTTATATAATTCAAATACACACGCAAGAAAGTTTTTGCATTAATCTGGTCTGATTGAAACACACAGTTCTATGAAAAGTAGAGATGGAAATGTAAAGTAACATGAGCAAATAGGTAAGAGAAATGAAGCAAGGAACATAGAAGCAAGGCAGTGGTGAATTGATACAAAGGGTTAAATGGGAACTGTTGAAACAATACGACAGAGCTGCTCCAAGTATGTGCCCTGTTGAGTGTTAAAGAGACTCCTGGCATGAAACCATATTCAGGTTCCAACTTCACCAGCAGCACGATGCATTCATAACTGGGACCTATGGCTAGGTAGTGCACTTACTCAACAAAACGTCATGAAATATGTAATATTCATACAAAGACATCCAAAATATTAGTGAGATCCATTAAAAAACCTGTAGAGGTTTAACTTGGCAAACAGCTAAACACTACATAGCCTTTCACTCACTCTCCCCAGTCCCAGTGGGACAGAGGAGAGAAATAAAAAAAAAAAACAAAAAACAACAGAACTCACAGGTTGAGATAAAAACTGCTTACTAAAACAAAGAGAGAAATAATAGTAATGATAATGATACATACATGCATATATTTACAAAACAAATGATGTGCAACACAGTAGCTCACTACCCACAACCAGTGTCAATGCCTCAGCAGCGCCTGCCTCCCCAGCCAGCTCCCATGGGTGTTATGGTTTCCTCACCCGATGCCATACAGTATGGAAGATCCCTTTAGCTGGTTTAGGTCAGCTGTTCTGGCTCTCCCCCCTCCCAGCTCCTTCTACCCCTCAGCCCCCTCACTGGCAGGACAGTATGAGAAGCTGAAAAACAGAAACACTCCTGGCTCGGTACAGCATTGCTCAGCAACAACTTGAACATCAGTGTGTAGCCAGCAGTTTTTCTCCTGAAGCCAAAACACAGCACCATGCCATCCACTATGAGGAAAATCAACTCTGTTCTAGTTGCAACCAAGGCAAAAGCTAACTCTGATCTTGAGATCAGGCACTCATTCCTCTAAATCCCTCATCCCCCACAGTCAGCCCAGAAAGCATTTTGTGAGGATTCCTAACTCTCGTTACCAGGATTTGTCTCTGGAGGACAAAAAGGTATGCTTAAGAAAGGGATTGTACAACATATCTAAAAAGCATGATTATGTCAACCAGCTTCTGCATAATGGTATACAGGAGACTTACCCAAGCAACTGAAAAACACAAGTACTACAATCATATCAGCTTGACATCTACACCTACTTCAGAGAAACTAGGATAGCAATTAAGCTATTCTCATCAGAAGTGCAGAAAGAATTCCTACAAAACAGTACCTAGAGAGGGTACTGAAGTACCTCACTTTTGAGACCAATGTTCTACCTTAATTTTCATTGTTTTAATTTCCTTCACCTAGTGATTTGAAAAGAAGGTCTCCACTGCCTTTTGTAGAAAGGGACACTACATTTACATCTTTAGAAAAGGACTACTTTGTGAATTAGGTTCTTTCTGCAGCCTGAAACTAAGCCAGAGGGAGAAGCAGATCTCTAATGTGTGACAGTACATCAGATTCATGCATTAGATTCCTCAGTGCCTCTAACAATAACTCTAAAGCATCTCAGAATTAAAGTAAGACCTCTGTCAAACCATAAACCATAAGAATAATTATTTTGCTGTTTAAAGAAATCTCACAAAGATGAATTCCATTAAAAAAATAATAATAATCAACTGCTCTGGTACTACAGATTTAAAAAAAAAAAAAAAGATTAGCTTAAGATAAACTTTTATTTAGTTCTAAGCAGTATTAATTATCTGAGTTACAAATATGTCAATAATTTCACATTTCAAAGACCTTGCAAGAAAAAGAGAAGAGTTTAGTCTGCCTTTCAAAACATATTAAAAGGCCACAAGAGATAAAAAATGCACCATGGCTGCAAAGTAAAACCCTGTACCTTCAGAAATGCATGATCCAAGGCTAGCTGCATAGTAATTACTGGACACATGTGTTACCATACTGAACTTCACATATGTGCTTGTGCATCACTTCCTCTCATAGTCTCCTACGTCTTTCAGCACACAGACTTGTTCTGGGATTGAGTTAGGGGTATGTACCACACCATCAGCATGACTCCAGCATTCCTCTTTTTTGAGATAATTGTAAGATAAGTAATGGGTAAGCCAGGATGACTGCCAGTGAAGAAGGATTGTCTTCTGGTGAATGTTCCTGAACATTCCAAGTAGCCACTACTTTGCCTGATCTTCATTTTCTAGCTGTCAGTTTTGAAAGTCACAGATATCATTTACAGAAGTGATATGAACTCATATGAAGACAGTGAAAATTTGAGTATGTGAAGTTCTATTACTACTACACTTCCCAAAGAATGCTCAAATTGCCAAGCCTGGCATCCAAGATAGCAAGTTATTTTAACAACTGTGCCTTAGGTTGCCAATAAAAAAAGTTCATAATGTAATACCACCAGTGCTGACATGGAACTTAAGATGATGAACTAGATGACAGAACTGAAATAACTGAAACTCAAAATAAGAATAGTGTTGTAAAAGTTTCCAAGAGAATTAATAATGTCTTGCTAAACTGAGTCAGAAACAGTATATATCAAATGAAACGAGAGATCCACAGTGAGTACTGAGGATTATTCAGTATATATATATATACACACACACATCTGTTGTATATGTACTCATTCAACAAACACTGCTCAATCTGCACAATGAATGAAGCAAGTATCCAAAGGAAGAAAAAAAACAACTAAGTTATTGTTGAAAACTAGGGATTTATCCTGATGAAATCAATCCATAAAACAAGAAACTAAAGGAAAAGAGGCTGGGAAGTAACCACATAGGAAGGCAGAAAAAAAAGCTAAAGTATGTTCTATCAGAGCATTAAGAATCAGTGGAGAAAGCCATGAAAACTGAACAATATTTTGTTCTGGCTTCATTAACCTTGCACAAGTGACAGACTGATGTGATTCAGGCTTCAGGATTTTTCCCTGAAAGATGGCATTCAGGAAAGATTAATAAAGAATACAAAGATTAATAGAGCGAATAACCAATTTGCCAACGAAGGGCCAAAATTTACAAAAGCTTGTGAAGAAAGACTGTATTGAAGTCACAATGGCAAATTAATTCCAGCATTTGCTGTATTTGTGCACTTGATCCCCCAACCTACAAATTAAATGTGAATGTGCTTTGTTATCAAGGATACGTAATTCACTGTCTTGTAAACATTCAAGAGTTTTAAATCCTGTTCACCTAAATCCCTCACACAGTCACTCAATCTGATCAGCTTTTCTGCTCCCCAGCCAACTCGTAACTTCCTTTGAAATGCTGATAATGCTGCAATGCAATGTCAAAAGGGCTTCTTACAAGTTTTATAATTCCAATAACTGCTCAAAAAAAATTCTTCACTGTTCACTTGTAACTTTTCCCCAGTGCATCATAAAATTTTTATTAGGGTGAGAATGGAAGAAAAGGGGAAAATATTTGCACTGTCCTGCAGACATCTTTTTCCTTGGGTTCTCCATAACTTTTGATGCAAAGAAGGATTCATTCCTCTTGCAGGAAGCTTCTGTTTAATCTCACTCTGCAACGTCTTAATCTGCATGCAAAGGTTTGTCCTATCCTTGGAGTGAATCAAACATGTACAGAGATTCTTATAAAACTACTACAGAAAGGGTGAGAATCAGCCTGTCTCCCATCCTCCTTGGATGTACCTTGGGTACCTACTTCTCTACCAGTTAAACTCAGTCCTTAACTGCTAGGTGTAATTTGCTTTATGAAAGTGTTAACCCACAAAAGAAAACTGAAGTTTTCCTCAGAAAAACTCTTCCACAAATCTTGGACAAACCTCAGATCAGGCAAGACTCTGGAAAAAACAGGACACTGCTGACGCCAGCAAAAGATGCTCAATTCAGACACAAGGATATTAGTCTCAGATGTAACATATCAGTAGATCAGAACATACAGAAGAGATTTTGCCCTTAGAATTTACACTTCTGCAATTTCAAAATCCAATACAAGTTTAAATACTGATTAAAATATAACATTAAGATACAAATATGTATACTCTGACAGTTTTATTTATATACACACACTCCTACACTTCCACACACACATACATGCCTCATCTCATATATAGTATTAGCACACACGTTAGGCTTTACTTCTGTTTTCTAAATAGAAGAGTGATTTAATAGAATTTCATTTCATTCAAACCTCTCTTCTGGTTCCAGTCATGGGCATCCCCCAGCTGAGCAGCATTATATGTATATCCATCTTGTTGACGAAAGTAATCATCGGTGCTGAGTGCAACGCCATCATGGCTGTGATCGAGCAGAAAACTATTGAGAAAAGGGAAATGCAAAATATTACAGGATTTATTTTTCTCATTAAATCCCCCCAAAAAACAATAAAGCTAAAATAAATCAGTGCCCTACTTCTGAGATTCTTGCAAAGTCTGAAATATTTTGTATTGGAAAAACGTAAGTATACTATTAATTTCAATTCAGATTAAAGCAGTGTTTTTCCCCCCTCTCTACTTCTATATTTGTTGTTTCTCCAACTTAGAAGTTTGTAACCACCTACTTCATGGCTATGCCACAATAGGTACTGAGCACCTACTGGTCATTTATCATATTTGTTAACATTTGCCATATCAGTTCTTATCTGTAATTATCTCTAGGAACCAATCTGATCACAGGACCTGGATAAACTGAGAAATGAACTGCATGCTTAAATAGTTCTTCCTCTAAACAAGCATTCTTCTGCCCACTGTTCATGTTTCTTGCACATACAATATGCACTGGATAGGAACAGCAAAAGAAAACTTCTAATGTTTTCAGCAATTTCCATGTTTTCAGGGAAAAATAGAGCACCACAATAAAATTTCAGGATTGTGCTACTAACAAAAGTCAGGATTACAGAAGAGTATGCATCCTATATTGGAGGAATAAACATAGAAATTCCTATTCCTCCAATATAGGATGCATACTCTTCTGTAATTCCATTTCTATGGAATTTCTGCCTTCTGCCCCAATCTGAACCACACAATCTCACTCACACCCACCTTCTCCTCAGCAATGGCACTCCCTGCATCTACAAGTTACTCCGAAAAAAGTGACCCTTATTTCTTTTTTTTTTTTCCTGTGTCAATTTTTGGAAACTTTAGCATTTGTACTTACTCAAGAGAAGGCCCAAAAAGATGGCACAAGGAAAGTGATGAAAGAAGATCAATACAGATCTCCTCTAGTAGCAGCAGTGAGCTGCTACAGGGGTAACCCCATCCTTTACAACTGCAGTTCCAGTCACACAGGTGACAAGAAATTTAAGATACAGTTTTTAATTGCTGTCATTCACACTTCAGGGTTAATAAGGCCATAGAAAAGCACGCGTTTTATTACCCCTGCACGTATTAAACTTCAAATCAGGAGAAAAACAATCGCTTCTTGAACCACGTAAATCACTTGATTAAAGTGGGTTAGCCTGGCTTCCTGAGGAAATGCCATTTTATGGTGACTTGCAACAGGGCATGAGTTTGATGGGTGAAATGAAAGGGGAAGAAATGCTCGGATACATCAAAACAGTTAGCAAATGAATAAAATGCAGAGATCCAAATTAGAATCCTAAAAAATTAGAAACTAAAACGGATTGCAGTGTGAATTTCACATTTACCCAGTCTTTCAGGCCTGCCATTTTTAAGCAGCACAGATATACTAGAAGTTTATTTCATCTGTGGGTCAGAATAACCTAACGCTAAAAATTACAGCAGGAAGCCAGATGAAAACAGCTTCAACATAAAGAACAAAAGACACGGGGAATTCAACTCAGGCAAAAGGAAATCTCAGAAGTGGTTGTAAAGTATATTGTTAACAAGTTTTTTATCCGTTTTATAATATTTCACAATATTGGTAATGTTTCTGATTATTATGTTAGTTACTGCAATGACTTAGATTAGTTATTGCAATGAGTGATGAAAGAATATTGCACAAATCCATTAAACTTCTCTAGAATTCTCTATTTGCATTAGCATGAAATGCAACAGTTAAACCACTGAGAGGCATAACTGAGCTAGTTTTTGGAGTTAACTAAAATTCATGCTCAGTATTGCCCAAGAAATACCTGTGAATCAGAGAAACCAACGAGTAAAGTTGCAGGTGGGGTTAGCCTCCTCCCCCCCCCCCCGGTTGATCAGCAACATCAGAACTTCATACACCTGATCAAACCTACATTAATCCAACCCAGTGAGTAATCTCTATTCTGTCAAACATAAACCCTACTTTCAGGAAATCCCTGGAAATTGCTGCTTAAAGGAAAATCCTGTGAAATGGAGATAACTCTCCTTTCACTCAGATCTACAAGTCTGATCCCATGACTGTTCTTGCTTTCTATTGTATATTCCAATTTATAAAAACAGCCAGTCATTGCCACAGAGCATCTATATCCCACTGAGACTCCAGGATTCCACTGCCCAATGGAAACTGCAGCAACTACTCAGACACAAGAATAGTCACTGTACCCAAAGGCTACAAGAAGAAAACTGCCCCAGCAGCATGCATGATACACTGTTGCTGAGGTGCCAGGAACAGAGGAGAGCTGGCCAAATCCCAAACAACCCAAGGCAAGAAATGCATGTTAGCTCTAAATAGCTGCAGGGAGAGCTACTTAAGTTTAACTCCCACACAAGGAAGGTGCTGTGAACTGCCACGTCATCAACAATAGACCTTGCAGAGCTCATAGTTAAAGACTGTGAACGGCCCAACTTCACATCGGTTACAGATAGAGATTTGCATTAAAAACTCAGCTGGAAGAAAAATAAATCCAATTTTACATAACAACAATTTAAAACATTAAAAACACTGTAGTATGTTATTTATATTCCTATATGTTTACTGTCCTACAATTAAGTTGTTGGTTATTCTCGCCTTTAAAGCATGGAGACCTCTAACAACAAAAACAAAATTAATGGGGAACAGAAGGAACTACAAACAATGCATCTGTGAAGTAAATGGCCAAAGATGCCTCCGATCCATTTTTCCCTGTTTGTTCTTTCTCCCTATTCCACGGTACAAGGTTACTTCAAAATAAAGACCAGTGCTCTTTCAGAAAGCAGAGTATGATACAACAAAATTACAGCCACTTTGCTGGACATCAATCAGTATTTTTGTTTGAGTCTTCACCTTTTGTTAGGATGCGTATTTTACTGGTAGGAGAGCACAAATAAACAAAATGGCACCAGTGAGTCATACAGCATAAAAACCAGCATTCTCTTCTAATACCAATTCCTGTTTCACATAAAACACTTAACAGGAACACACATTTCCTAAGTTATCTTGCCAGGATTTCACACACGGCCCAATTTTCTTATTTTCAGTATTCTAATTTGCCAGCTAATAGTGCTCCAAACAACTGGATCCAGCTTCTACACTCACTTCTTGTGTGCCAAATGCATGTGCATGTGTAACAGAGAATAAGAACCGCCCTCCTTAATAAAGGAGATAAGAACTAATAGCTGGGACCTGATTCTTCGACTGATGAATGAACACACAGCAACCAATGGGGCACTCATGCGTATTATCATTTCCAGAAACTGTTCAGAGTTCTGTAAAGTAATTCATTTACTCAAATTCCTCTGTATTTTCCAAACCACAACAGTCCTAGCAATAAGGAAACACTACAAGGGGTTAGGAATCTTGCAAACCCATAAACACAATTTATTCTTGAAATACTTTATTACTATTTCTCAATGCTCACAATGTACCACAGTTTATGAACCTATATAACCAGCTAGCAGATTTAATACAGTGAACTGTACAAGAATGAAACTGAAACTACGTAACTGCAGAGGCAGACTGACTCCCAAAGATGACAGGACAACAGAATCCTTACCCCAAATACAACACACACACCATCTCCAAGTAATGAGCTAATGAACTAGAGCTTCAAATATGATGCCAATGTTCAGAGCCTGTTTCATAACTTTGGCATGAAGTCATAAAAAACACTTTCAAAGTCTAACAATCATCTCTTTTAGAAGCTGTGCTATTTCAACTTGTAACATCTTAAAACATCAACTTCACATGGAATAATTTACACACTTCCAAGATGTATTTGGAAATAAAATTTATCCTAGGCTCATAAAACAATAAAGCTCACCTATGCAAAGAATGAATCTAACCTCACAAAGAGGTGATTCCACTGCTGTGAGGTGGGAAAGGAAAAACAATGAAGACAACTCTCTAACAGGAAAGTCAAACTGCAGATCAGTAGCATTGGTATGTGCACGTGTGACACAAGTTGCAGTAATAACCAACCACTGCAAACCAGCTCCTCTTCATCCAATTACAGGACATTCCCTGCAATAGAACATTCGCCTCCAAGTCTAACAGCACAGTGACACTGAAGCAGATAGAAAAATCACAGCAGCTCACTTAGGTTTTCTTTTAGATAATCTAGTTGATCTAATACAAGTTATCATTTCTACACACAAAACTCATCTGGAAGTTCAAGTGCTCATATTAACTAGACAGCAAACTAATACATGTTTTTTCCAGCGTGGACATACCCACATGCACCCATGCACCAGCTTTAAATCCAGTTCTTCAAAACAGTTCCACGCTCTGCACTCCAGTCAGCCTACCTTGATAAATAATTTTACAGTTAAGATATCTTAGAATCAAATTATTTAAAATATCTAATTCATCATACAAACAAGGAAAAAAGACTGTAACTAAACAGTTTTTAAAAATCTACAGTACTACTAAGCTATTTAAATAGTACTTGTAAATGATTCAATAATCAATGTAAATGATTTGAATAGACAAGGCAGAATGGCTTTAAATTGAGACAGGGGAGGTTTAGGTTAGATATTAGGAGGAAGTTTTTCCATCCAGAGGGTGGTGACGCACTGGAACAGGTTGCCCAAGGAGGCTGTGGATGCCCCATCCCTGGAGGCATTCAAGGCCAGGCTGGATGTGGCTCTGGGCAGCCTGGTCTGCTGGTTGGTGACCCTGCACATAGCAGGGGGTTGAAACTAGATGATCATTGTGGTCCTTTACAACCCAGGCCATTCTATGATTCTGTGATGTTGTTACCACTATTGCAGGCAGCATTTTTTAAGAAACACAGAGTTAGAAACAATAGCACAAAAATATTTCTACGCCCAGCTGTAAGTACTTATTTAACCCATCCACAGCTGTAAATACTTACTTAACCCATCCACTCACAAGATCCAGAAGCTCTTCACTCCAGCAGCAGTATTCTCTTTCTGGAATACTCTCTTATATTGCCTAACAACAGATTTAATTTCAAACGTACATTGTCAATGATGCCAATATTTGTTTTTTCAACCCCATTAAGCTACTTTTACACAAATTCACGTTGATCTATTTATAGAGGAATGGAAAATTGGAATTGCTGCCAAGTTGATTTGCAAAATATCCTAAAAAATCAAAGTTTTCTTTTAAATCTTTTTCCCATAGCATTTACATTCTTAAGATCACATTACCAACTACTTAAAATTACAGCACATTTTTGTGACTTGGACTAAAGATACCATCACTATGTACCCACCTGGGCAAATGGTATAGAACGTTTCTAACTAAACTGTAAAATCACTTCCAAAGCAAAGGAAACAAAGCATTTTCCAAGCTTTTCTCTGAAGTGCTTTGGATTGAGGGAGCATTATCTGGCAAAGTATGTTCATCTGCTTTTCTTCTACCTATTTTTTTTCCTCCCGAATTCGTCTAAGTTGCAGGACTTTAAGACACCAAGTGCACAGAAAACAGAAGTAAAAAGCACTTGGGTTTGTACAAAGCAGAGCAGAAAAAGCAAAGATTCCCACTGCAATAACTCTATTCCTTCTGCAGGAATAGAGCATTTCTGCAGTTGAAGCAATCTGGATTAGCACCAACCAATGCAGTGCATTATGAGAATGCACTTTTCCCAGCACAACATTAAGAACAGCAAGAGAAGGAAGAAAACTGGCCTAAAATGGGAAGGACTTAGGAAGCATAGCGGTACAAATTGCAATAAGCAACTCACAGCTGTCACCAGAAGAAACAGGGGCAAGGCAAAAGAGTGAAGTACAACAAAGAGATCAGTACAATTAACCTGGGAATGAGACCACATCAGCAGCTGACACAGGGACAAGGTAATCCTAAGAAGAAAAGAGAGAAAGACTGAACCAAGAAATCCACTTAGAATTTTAGGGCAGAAGCAGAGATATTATACTGCAACTACCTACACATGTAATAATGCATGTAATAAATCAGTGAGATCACGAGAGGTCTCCAGTGACCAGGAACAGGTTAATGCTATGCCCATATTTGAGGTCAGGAAAGACAAGGGAACTGGGCTGCTCAACCTCACCTAACATCAGCTTCCAGAGAAATCACAGTGCTCTCTGTTGGAATCTACTTCCAAACATGTGAAGGAAATTAAGGTCGATACAAAAAGTCAAGGTAGACAACAGACAAATCACACTTCAGTGGCCAGACCAGACTGTACTATGTGATGAAACTACTGGCTTTGTGGATGAGGCCGAGCAATGAATGCAATATCCTTTGAATGTATTAAGGCTTCTGACATTTCCAGTCAGTACCTGCGGAGTAGCAGGACAGACAGTGAAATCAAGTCTTTGGCATCTTCACCATTAACCTGGATCATGAGGCAGAACTTAAAGCTGACACCACACTGGTAGCAAAGACAGACGTACCTAACATTAGGGCTCAGTGTCCTGGAGGATACAGAGAAATCTGAGCACTGGGCTAAGTGAAGTTCAACATGGAAAAGTGCCGAGCTCTCCATCTGGTGCAAAAAGAACCTATGCATTAGTACAGAATGGAAAGTAACTGGTTGAGCAGCCCAACTGAAAAGATGTAAAAATGTAGTGAATATCAAACTGAAGCTGGAATCAATGGTGCAATCTCATTAAAAGAAGAACAAACGCTATTTTTTATTAGGAAAAAGTGGTCAATGGAGAAAAAACAGTGGATCTACGGAAGATCCCGCCTCTGCCTCTTGCTTATCAGTTCTAAAACACTGTGTTCAGTTCGGGGCTTCCTAGTTCAAAAGGCACTTGGAAAAACACGAAAGAGCTGAGCAGATGGCATATAACCTACAGGCACCAGAGAAGCCTTCAGTACACCAATGGAAGTTCTCAAGACAAAAGTATGACTGATCCGATCCAATGATGGTGACAGTCACCTCCAAGCAGAAGGATGGACTTAGGTGACGTCCCAAAGACCCTTCCAAGAAACATGTCTTTGATGTCAAGCACGTGGGATGACAAAGTCAAAACAAAACACAGACTCATTATAAGAGTAAGAACAGACGTGTCAAGTTGGGGAGCAGGAGGAAACGTGTCTGTATTTACAAATCCACTGTTTGCACAAAAATGCAGACTGGAATTCAAGATTCCTGAGTCTCACTACTGCTTTGCTGTCATTACAGACTTGGGAAACTTGCTTGCAAGATGCAACTAATTCCTGCCATTCCTGATCCATAAAGATATGTCAGCTTCATCTATACAGTGATTTTGCTAGCACAAGCAGCAGAGGTTTGAAGTTCCTAAAGATGCCCAACTACCAAGATACCATGGGTACTAATGACACCACAAGGCTATGGTGTCATTTGTTGTCCTAGTCTGCACTGCAGATGCTATATAATTCTGGTTTTTAGTTTCTTCCCCCAGCACATCCCACCCCTTAGGAATATGAGACCCTGGAATACGATTTTGCAGCAATTAACAATTAAAACCAAGCTCTGAACATACAAAATTGCATACAGCAATTACAATACAGTGACAAACAAGTCCCACACAGTTCAAATTCTGCACCCAAATTCAGTGACTATGATTGACCTTGATCTTACAGCACCCACTTCCCCATCTGTTAAATGCAATCAGTAATTCATCTGACAAGAAGGAGATGAAAAAGCATCAATACAGATTCATAAAAAACTTACAATATTTAGGATTTTTCAGCTAACGTGACTGTCATACTTGGAGAAAGACTGAAAGGCCATCCATCATGCGAAGTATGGAAAAGATAATGTTAAATAGTCTCACATTTAAAACTATCCAGTTTCTGCACTGAATAAAGCAATATTTTTCCACTTCAATTATTTTCTATGTTACTTTCATATACTTAAGAAACTACTGTAATAATACTCACATACTAACACTCAGCTTCAAAAATACAGGTTTGCAGAACAGAACAATCAGTAACTAGAAAATGTGAGTTAAAATTATACAAATATGTTAGAAGTTTCTAGTAGATATTCGTCTATGATACAGCCCCCTACATACTTGGGGATAAAAAAATCAAAACCCGCAGACAGTAAGGTTGCTCCTTTGAACAAAAACAAACAACAAGGAAGAATATAATCACAGTATCTATTTAATAGTCTGCTAACATACAAGGGAATATAACCACAAACAATGTCCTGTTTGTCACATGCAGTTTCTGGATGAAGCTCAATCACTAAATACTAACAAAGTAACTTCTTCGGTGTGCAAAAGAAATGTGTTTTCATTTACTACAGACAGTGGTTTTGTTCTTTATCAACCTATGCACTTTCTACAGTAGGCAAAAAAAGGTGAAAATCCAAGCTGGAGTTTGTGCTTGGCTTTAATTCTGCTGGAAACTTCAACAAGCACATTTCTAAGGGAAAATGACATTTTTCTTGTGTGTTCACAAATTAAAAAAACGTACAGACATTAGTATGAAAAACACAAATGAGATTATGCTGTTTCACCAGTACACTGAAAAGGATTACACTTCCAGAGAAGCAAAATTCTTCTAATGGTCTTTGAAGATTTTTGCACAGCCATAAAAAGCTACTACTCCTGCTGGATTATACCAAAGACTTTTTTTTAAATGAAGAAATTTGATAATAAAAGGGGCAGACCATCACATACTAGTGCATATGAGAACTTCAGAATAGAAGTCACAGAACATTTCAAAATTAACATAAAACAGCTTCTGTTCATCAAAATTCATACTAATGTAAACAAAAACCAAACCGTGTGATTCCAATATGACTGCATTTTAATTGCCTAATTTACAAATACCAAATTTTGCCAAGTGCTTGCTGATAAGCTTTTCAAAAATCCTTTTTTTTTTTTTTTAGTCTGAGTAAGCTTCCCAACTTTTAAACCTTCACTTAGAATCATAGAATGGCTTGAAAAGGACCTCAAAGACCATCGAGTTTCAACCCCCTGCTATGTGCAGGGTCACCAACCAGCAGACCAGGCTGCCCAGAGCCACATCCAGCCTGGCCTTGAATGCCTCCAGGGATGGGGCATCCACAGCCTCCTTGGTCAACCTGTTCCACTGCGTCACCACCCTCTGGGTGAAAAACTTCCTCCTGATATCTAACCTAAACCTCCCCTGTCTCAGTGCTAAACCACTCCCCCCTGTCCTGTCACTTACCGAGACAGAGTTGATTTCCCCGACCCAGGCAGGCCTCTTAAGATAAGGAGCACTTTCTGTGAACAATCAAACCTCTCCTCAGGTAGGAAAGAAAATCTATGCATTCCTTCTGCACTGTAAGGTTTTGGTTCCTCCCAATACTCTTTTCTGGTTTCACAGAAACCATTACTTTGGAGTCCACTCTGGTGATTATTTCCATTTCTAAAGACCTGAGTATTTTGGAAATCAGTATGACCAACACTGTAGCTACTCTGATCGTGCACTGCACCATGACAGTTGATATCCCGATCTTCATGGTAACCATAGTAATTTTCATAAGAAAGTTCATCATTCTGAGAAGGAAAAGCATCTGTTTTTTGCTGTGTGGAATTAAATATCTGAAAATGTGCCTGATGGGTCAGTCTAGGAGGAGGAGGCCCCTGAGGTACTATGAAAGACTCCCTTGATTGCCAGGCAGGTCTGAATTCAGGCACTGAATAATTAGACTCTATTTGTCCATTAAAGGCATTTTCAGTTTTCCAGCCACTTGTTTCCATGACAAACTGTTGCTCACTGCTTATTTTCTGACTTCCCTGTTCCCCAAAGAAATATTGTCCGTTCTTGTAAAATGATTGTGGGCTGTCCAACAATACATGTTGATAATCCTCTTGTGATGTTTGACTGCAATTATACACAGAATATTGTTCCTGAGAAGTTTCAGTTTCTTCTTCCTGAAGCAGATTTAAATTTTCACTTTCCAGCTGGTGAATTTCTTTGTAGAACTGGTCCAGTTCATCATCCATTCCTGATACAGCAGAAGAAATGGCTGGCACCTTCTCTGTCTCAGTTCCTTCAGTTCTGTTTTCATGTGTGCCATCTCCCACACTGCTTTGATACTCATCACAGCTCCCAGACTGGTCCTGTGAATTACACTCAGCAGGCTTGTAAATCGGTCCAATAAATTCTTTGCTTGTAATAAACTCTCCATCTGACTCATTTCTATTTATTGAGAATGCTATGCAACTATTTTTAGTACTATCTTTATTGACATCATTCGCAGTAAGAGGATCTTCCTTTCCTTCATCCTCAGTGTCATTTATTGATACAAATGGAGGATTTATGTTCTGCACAATCACAGAATCAACTGTTTGATGAAACTCTAGATTACCTTCTGGAAGCACTTCATTCGCTGCTCCAAAGACATTCATAGGTATTTTCTCTTGCTTCTGCACTTCATTATCCCCTTCATTATCTGAAACACACACTGGTATCAAATCATTGGAGGTTCTGTCAGGGTCCCCTTCTTGAGTGCCTTGGTTGCCACAGTCAGAGAGGTTCTCAAAAGCCCCTTCCGTTGACTTCATCTTTTTAGAACATGGTTCAGTTGTGATTTCATCCTGACACTCCAACAGCCTTACTCTACTTTCAGCATGAAGCATCTTTGGAAAAAAAGACCAATACATTATCAACACAAACTATTTTAAAGCAAAGTAAAAAAAAAAAAAAAAAAAGTAAGTCAAGTTACTGAGGCCTATGATGTGCTTCTTCAGAATCTCCACTATCACAACTGAATGTGAAGCAAGCACTGAGAAGAAGAAAAGCAGGCAATACCTACTGGAAGTCTTGTTTAGTAGCATGGCAATTTTGTTTAAACATCTCTATATATGAGAAACACATTAGTGTTGAACCAGTCTTGCAGTCATGTTTTGTATCTTAATTTACAAATCAGTCTTTCTTCATATGAATTTTATATTTGAAAAATAAGTTAAATCAACAACTTCTGTTCTCCACTGACCTCTGTTAATCTGCCAAGCATTACAGATCTCTATGATAGGATTAACATGTGCCAAATTTCAAAGCACAAACTAATGCCTAACATCACTACTAAGACGACCGACAAAAATGCAAATACTTCAGACACCGGGATTATTTTCTGCGACAGGAACTCAGCTAATTCATTTTACACCAATAAAACAGATATCGGATGGCATCTCTAACTTGGCACTGGTTAAATAAGGCTTAAAGTTAAGTTTACAATCTGACATTATGTTTCTGGTTATGGAACAAGTAAAGACCTTCATTAGGTATCAAAACCACGCAGCTGCATACTTTCAAAGTAAACTGAAAAGCTAATCTGAGCACTAAATGAATTACAATCTAAGAATGGGGCAGTAAGTTCCAGAATGACAGACAGCTAGAGAGAGAGCAGTTAAAAACACAAAGTCATATAGTTCTGATCAGTGTGACATGCAGTCATACCATTGCCCCATCCATTATCCATAGTTTGATTTTCCTTAGCACTCTAGAAGTCTGTACGTAACGCAGTGAAAAGCAAGTCATCACAAATTAAGTGCCAAGTAGTATATTTAGCAAGCCCTCCAGAATACCAAACACAGTATTAAATGAGAAAGTATTTATCCTACCAGAGGATTTATTCTCCTACTCTGTCAACTGTGGAATATTTCATCCTTCTAAGAGTTAATATTGATCAAATGTTACATGCTCATCATCTCCAACAAAAACCAACTTTTTCCTTCCTTCACTCTGTCTGAAAAGGATCTGTAGATAACATCAAAGGAAGATTCGTAAGTAATATGCTTCATTTCAACTTTATGTGTAAAACTTGACAGGTGTTTATCAGGACACTTTCTCACCTACTGTAAAAATTGAAAAAGAGAGTCAGAAAATGCTTAAGCCAAGGAGATTTTACTGTTTCTATTTCATTTTGATAACTGGAAGATAGCACTACTGCCATGTGGTGGAAAAACATAGCCACGCATGACAATATTCCTTGGTATTACTGGGATGCTGCTCTGGATACCACTCTCTCCATCTCTCAAGACTCGCACATTGCTTCTCACACATCTCCTCCTTTTCAGTTCCCCCTTTTGGCAAATTGGAAAGCAAGTATAATATATGCCTATATCCCCCAACTACTCAAAAATGTTACTTTATCTCTACTCAGAAACACTGCAACCTGCTCTAGAGGACCTGCTTTAGTGCGGGCATTGGACTCAATGATCTCCAGAGGTTCCTTCCAATCCCTACAATTCTGTGATACAGTGAAAAGCTGCTTTACTCTCATTTCTATTCTCATCTCACTTGTGGAATGGGGCTTAAGCAAGGCATGCACATATTCTTATGTGAAATTAAAGTAAAGGACCATGTGAGCTACCTGCTGCATGAGAATTTCTCTCATGATGGAGACTGCTGTGTGACTGTCCCACACAAGAAATACTCCTTTCTAATCTTCAGCAGGCGTGCTCAGATAACATTAGGGAAAGATAAACTGCATGTAAAAACATTTCCACCAGCACGGTCAGAGCATGTACATACTGACAAAGCGCAATCTACCTTACAGTCTTGCCTTTCGAAGGAGACAAAATAGAACCACAGAATATCCTGAGTCGGAAGGGCCCCACAAGGACCGCTGAGTTCAACTCCCGGCTCCACACAGGATCACCCCAAAACCAGGCCATATATCTGAGAGCACCGTCCAAACACTGCCTGAACTCCAGCAGCTTAAGGTCGTGATCTCTGCCCTGGGAAGCCTGATAGCTCCGTGGCACTGAAGATACGGTTGGAAGCATCGAACCCGAGCTGCACACACGATCCACTTGGCAGTGCTTACAACGCCATGTCATCACTTCGACCTGCCAAACACCTCCAGCAATTAACCGACGGCCTTAAGCTCCACGTCTACAATAAATTCACTAACGCAAAAAAAGAGGACGCATGTGGCAGAGGCTGAAGATCAGGCGAAGGCCCGGATCTGCCCGTTCGGGCATGGAGGAGGCAGCGCTCCGAGCCCTTCTCGCTCACGGACGCACCGCACGGCCGGGCCGGGAGCAGCAGCGCTCGGGAGGCGTGGGGTACCGCCCGCCAGCCGCCACCTTCCCCCATCCCCAGCCGGCCTCCTGGCACCCGCGCCCACCTTCCCCCACTGACCCTTCGCTCCCCCTCACCCGCATACGGATCAGGAAACCAACCTCAAGACACGAGCGCCCGCCAGCCCGTCTTCCGCCGTCCCGGCGAGCGACGCACCCCCGGCCGGCGGTGGGGGATGGGAACGGAGGGCAATCCCTCACTCTCAAAATGGCGCCGACTCCGCCTCCCCTGCTCTCCTCACCGCGGCTCGCTCTGGGACTCGTAGTTGCGCCCCGTAGGGCGCAGGACTACATCTCACAGAATGCCCTCGGTGGCGGGGGGGTGGACCGTCGCTCAGCGGGCAGTGAGCGGGCAGTTAGTGCTGTGGGCGGGATTCGGGCCGCTCTCGGTGAAAGGCGGCTCTTGTCCGAGGTGCGCCCGGAGTCCCGGCGTGAGGGCAGGGGCGGTGCTCCGGGTCGGTTGCTGTGTGCTGGTGGAGTGACGTGGGGTTGTCTGTGTGCACCCCGTTCCTTCCCCCTGGGGGAGAATTCTCAAAGCCAGCCCGGGTCAGTGGATTTTAGGTATTCTCAGCCTTGGCTGCACTGCCCAAAAATGGGCAAGTTCGTATTGATATCGAAACATCTGGTGTTTATTCCTAGAAAAAGAAAAAAAGAAAACAAAAAAATCAGCTGCTGTAAGCACAGAACAAAACTCCTGAATGCTAAAATCATAGCTTTAGTGCTGCAGTAGTTGTGTAGGTATTGCCCACGTGCTACCAGACCTGGGAAATCTGTGTGTAGCTTCTTCTAAGGCAGAGCCTTTTCCTGCCATTCCTGACTGGAAAAGCAGTGTGTGAATTCCTGTGGGAATCAGGAGCAGTGCAGTGCTTGGTGGTGGTCTTTCTTGTGTCACTGGGGCCTGAGTTTTGTTCCATATTTTGGACAAAAGAGTCGAGCAGACAAATTCTGCAGCAATTTTGAATTAAAGAGAAAATCAGAAGGATCTGGTCATTTCTACCATGGGGAGTTCTTTCAGGAAGGGAAATAGGAAAAAAGGAAAAAGAGAAAAAACTGACCTTTGTTTCTGAAAGAAAAATGGATAGTTACAGCATATACAAAGGAGTGTGTTACTGTGGTTAGATGGACTAGTTCTAACTCAAGTATTTTTGGGAATACAAGGACTTTATTTATATTTATATTTATATTTTATGTTTATTAATATGCTTTATTCTATGCTTTGTATGAGATTATCTAAAAAGTAATGAGTAGTCCTTAAATTTATTGTTCAAAAAGGTTTTGTGACCAAGATGATTGATTTCTTAGAGGAGTCTTGATTGCATAATCCTAAGGAAAAGATCTATTTCTTATCTAAAATAATAGTTATGAGCTTCTCTAGAATCATAGAATCACCAAGGTTGGAAAAGACGTTGCCTCTATGCGAGCTAAATCACAAAAAAAAAAAGGAGAGAGAGAGAAAATTGTGAGTTAACCATTTGCACAGAATGAGAGGGTCCTCTGGCCTTTTGAAGATAGTGCCTGTAGATCAAAGCTCTCAAGCACTTCATGGTGTGTGTCTAGTGATTGTCTCAGGTGTATTTCATTTGGGAAATTCTCCCAGTACTCATGTATATAATTAAATAAGCCACGCATTGCAACTGACATCAGATATTTTTTTTTTACTTCACCGGGTGTAATAAAATGTTTCCCTGATGATATTACAGCTGCTACAGGTATCACCCACCTAGATGCTTTCCTGTGCAACCTACTGTAGGGAAGCTGCTTTAGCGGGGAGTTGAACTTTGTCATTCCCAGAAATCCCTTCCAACCCCTACACCTCTGTGATTCTGTGATTTCATAGGGAAGATGTTATACCTATGTCAGACAAAGCTACAAATGATTCTCCTAGGATTCTGAGGTACTCTAGATTGTTAAAGAAGTTCCATCAAGAACATCAGCAGGATAAGCTGATAGGGGGTTAAAAGTAGAGTGGAAGTCCTGACTTGTTCAGGACTAATCAGAAATTCCTTGACATCTATGCCAACACCTCAGTACTACTTGGTGAAATGTTGTCTTTAATTGATCTAACAGAAGAGTGAAAAGGAAAAATTCCACTTTGTATAATCGTTATTGCCATAATGTTTAAAGACTCATAAGTTTGGGTTGATTTGAATATTAGAGGTACCATCATAATTTGTACACGTAAGGGAAATGAATAAGGTTCAGTCTGAAATAAAAGATATGTAACTTGACATTATGTAACTTTAATGTTTAAACTTGCAAATGAAACATTTTCTCAGAGTAGTTTTGCATTTTATTTCTTTAGTTATGAGAAGAAGGCAACTGCCTATTCTGGAGGATGTCTTGATTACCAGTTATCATGGTTTACCAGTACCCATGACACAGATCATCAAAGTAAGTAGTTACAGTACAGTTACAGTGCAACATTCTTCTGCTGAGCTCAATTTCATGTTACATAGGAAAACACGTCTGGGAGCGCAATTTCAAATTACCAGTAACTTATGATAACAGCTACTGTCAGAAGAGGTTTTCCTGCTACCCCCTTCCCACACTTGGGCTTGTCCATATGCTGCTCTGCTTCCTTGAGTGTATTAGCTTCTGTTGTTTGGCCACTGAGAGTCGCAGTGCTCATGTGTTGGCTCATCACTTGTGGCCCAAGTCTGTCCAGAGCAGGGGGAGGAATGGGAACATGTAGCTGGAGAGAGTATGGGGGACCCCTCCGTTCAGCTGCATTCAGCTGTTAGAATCAGTTTCACTGTGATACCTCATGAATTACTAACGTGACACTTCCAGCACCTTCTTGTAACTGTTGTACTGCAGTAGTGCTACCTGCTGTGACTCCACCTCTTGTGTTAATTTCCAATATAATCTTGCTTCTTGCCTGTTTCTCATTAATCATTTGCATCCCATAGTGCTGTATCACTTCCTTCTACCAGTGCTGGTCTTTTTTCCCCTTTCCCTCACTTTCTGTTTCATTCAGATTCTTCGTTCTATTTTGTGTCACTTTCCTGCAAAACACTAATGCACCAACTTTATCTTCTGCTAGTCTGAAATGTGGCACCACGGTGGCATCCAGTTGCTGAGGGGAAACTACAGAAAAAAAAAAAAGTACTCAGTTTCTCAGCTCTCAAGTAGAGTCAGTTTGCACAGAGGCAGTGAGACATGGACACCTTTAAGTCTTTGCAGAGACTGTTTGTAATGAGCAAGTTTGGATATGCTGGAATATTGTTCAGACTAGTCTAATTCCCGTTCCATTAAAGGAAGAGCACTAGGTATTTTTAATAAAAAGCATGTTTTTTTTCTGTGAAGAAAGACTTGCCTTGAATTTGTTTCTAGAAACATTTTAGATAAGACTTCCCAATAATTAAGCGTGAAGAAAGTAGCTGGCATGAAAAATATTAGTCCAAAAATTAACTGTTGGCAAAACAATACATTTCTGTTTTCTACCCTTTGATAGAAAAGATTAGACAATTATGAGACAAGACAATCGGACTCAAGCTGTAATCACAAGGGAAAAAAATCAAGAGAAATATCCAGAAGGCTCTACTTGACATTAATTTTTAATTTTTAATTTTTAGTTAAGGGTTAATATAGAATGATAGATAGTTCAGTCGTTTAAGTCTTTTGGCATGATTTTGTTATTAGATTTAGCAGAGTCCTCCTTTTTTTCTCCTCATGATCCTGTTCTACTAATCACATTTTAATAAGACATGCATTTGAGTTCAACAGAACTACTTACAGATATATTTGTCTCTTTCTAAAGAACCTTGTGTCTTAGTTTGTCCTGCCACTCTGTGATTCTCTACATCTATTCAGAAAAAAATGAGGCTTCAAGGTTATTTAGGAAACAGTCTTGCGTAAGTCTTTGAATTTAAATCAAACTATAGAGAGGAATCCTGGTGAACATCAACACTACAGGAGTATTGCTCAGCAAACAGTTTTCTGAAACATTTATACAGCAAAATATGCTGATCTGTAAATGACAGTTCAACATTTGAGTAAAACAAAACGAAACAGGAATAGTTTTTGGCTTGTTAATTTCCACCAGTAAAGAATTTTGAATTTTCAAATTTCAGCCTGAGAATTAACATAGGAATTCTGTTTTATAGTTTGGATAATGCCCCATCTGTTTACCTGCTGTTTTGGGGAGATAGGAGTACTTTCTGGAGCATGTAATACATTCCAGTAAGTGTTGTTTAAGGCATGGCTAGTGCTTCTTTTCTCTATGATAAAAGTAGTTTGTCATTTGAATATTGTTATTTGGTTTCCTTCTTGGTTAAGAGGAGCCCTTTTGGACACAAGAAACACTAGAGAAGAAAAGCAAAAGGAATATCTCATTAGTTTATTTTGGAAATTTTTAAAATCTTTGATTTAATTTTTTTTTTTTTTTTTTTTTTTTTGAGGGGAAATCTGCAAGATAGATTTTTCTTGACAGTAGAAGACTGGATCTGTGAGTTAGAGCTGAAGCACTATAGCACAAGAAAGCTAGCAGAAATGTACATTTTAGCCCTTGTTTCAAAGGACAGTGCTTTAGAAAATGTAACAGCTGCTGGCCTGAGGTAAAGCTGAGTTTATAAGTTGTGAATGTTAGGGGGAAGCAGACCAAGAAAAACATGATTCCAAACAATTCTTGTGTTTCAAAGCAGAGTAAGAGGAGCTTCTGGGAAGAGACACTTAAGATGAAGATCCAGGCACTGCTTAGTCTGCAAGCCTATCTAAATAGCATCTCAAATTTAAATAAAAATTGGAGGAAAAGGAGTATAATGCTTTCAGTGGGCTTAAATTCAATGAGACATTAAAAGAGGTAGCTTTCAGTAGTGGACAGACAGTGGAATGGTCAAAGGAAAATGTGTGAGTAGGAAAAAATGAGCAACTGAAAAATACCCAGCATTTTCCCAGCAGAATATATTTAAGTATTTAATGCTTAATACATTAGTCACTCATGGGAGAGGAACAGATGATAAAATGCTATAGAAGTGTAGTGCAAAATATTTATGAAGTTGACATCCCCATTGTTTTGTAGAATACGTGCACAGTTGTTACTTGAAATTACTTTTATTTGAATACTTGAGGTTTAACAACTGAAATTTTTACCTTTCAGATACAACTTACAGTAAAAGCATTTACCTCTTGAATATTTTCCCCATTTTGTCACACTAAAAGCATTGCTTAAGAATAGTTAGATTATGCAATCTCCTTTCCTACCTCCCATCCTACATCTTGATTAAGTGTGGAAAGCATTTAAATCAATTAAAGGTATCTCAGAGGAGAAAGTGATTTAATTCACTGACAAACTGAGCTATCATCAGGGAAAGAAAGACTGCTGGTGCAGACTCCCAAAATACTAATTCTGTACTGTCAGCAAGGCATTAAGAGAGGAATA